ACAAGTAGCTCTTCTGTGGTGTCCAGAACTCATGGTTACTTCAGTGAATTCACAGAATCAAGAAAGAACAACAGGATCTTTGACCACCATAATAGACTCACTCAGTCTCACTCTGTGTGAGGCATGATCCTTTTCCTGTGTGCTCTGAAAATTATTTACATGCAGGCACAGGTACAAGCCTTCAATACTCCTGCTCCATTATGCCACTAACCTAAAATGCCCCTTCTCTTCTCTACAAAAGTACAACCACCCACCATTTACATTTTCACAGTTTATCCCCGCCATGGAGGTTTCCTCAGCCACCACAGCTTAAAATGGTTTCTCTCCACCCTGAGATATAGTAATCACCTACAGACTCCATTAATCAATCGATATTCATATTTAATGAATGCCCCTATATCATAGGGATAAACTAAGTGAAAACAGCCCACCCATAGTTGATGTTAATTATCATATTAGAATTGTTGGGATGTGCTACTTTGGTAACGGAGTATTAGAAGATCCACACATAACCTCAAAAATCTTGCATTCTGGGAAATATTTAATTGAATAAATATAACCAAGACTTTGTTGAGACTTTTAACTCAGAGACTTTGATATGATGATGCACATGTTGAGACTCTCTAAGAGGGAAAAATAACAGGCAGCGCTTCCAAATTGATCTGCCCTTTTCAAGAACACACCTATTAACCACCACCCCAATAGGATTCTTCTGATGTACTCTGGAAACTGCTGAGCTAATTCAATTGCTACTTAATTCCATCAGCTGGACAGCATGGCGTGGAAACCGTATTTTCCACCTGCATAAGGAACCAAATTTGCTTTGTTTTAGAATATTGTCAATTGGAAGTCACTCTATTTCCGTGTCAGTTTACAGAAAAAGAAAAAACACACATTAAAAGTGTTCATAATTTTGAAGACCCATCCAGATTTCTGAAATTGGAAAATGATAAAATGTGGAGGAAAATATGTATTTTAGAATTGCGCTAGTAGCATACGACCCAAGTTTTAGTTTAAGCACGCTCTAGGAAGGTGGTGGAGAACAGTGTTCCCAGAATGGGCTGTGACTCTCTCTGACCCAGAACCATCCAAGGACCAAAGAGAAATAAGGTATTGTAAGGACCGTCTCACAACAGGCTTACACAAGGGAGCGAAGGTACCAAGCGGTCTTGTGCTAAGAAAAGCTAACCACAGAGATAAGGAAAGAAGCCCCCCCCCCCACTCCGCCCAACACGGGGGAGGGGGGGGGAAGCCTAGCAGGGAAAAGTAGGGGTAACACCCAAAATATAAACATCAAGTTATGGGAAAGAATTTTAAAACAGAAACGTTCCCTACTCATGTTAAGTAGGAGAAACCATTTAAATTAGCTAGTGAATCTGAAGAATTACAACCGGAGGTGTTTCTTCACTGTGTGCTAATTACCACCAGGAAGACAGGCAGGGGCCTTGCAGTTTTATCTACTAAAACACTAAATGGTACACTTGAGTTTTTGAATAGGTCTCTGATTTTACTGATAGGTCTTTCTAGTGCTAATCATATTAAAATGAAAACAAAGCACAAATGGAGAGCTAAGATAAAGCATGTGGTCAGCCGGGATTCCATTTGGCAAGGCAACACAAGAACTTGAAAGTGTTCATCTCCTCTTACACCTAGTCATTTGGGTGCTACATAAACCTTCTTCTTTCTGTAGGATGTCATCTCAGAAGCCCTCCCGACTCAAGCAGGCTCCCTCCCAAGACCTCTCTGATACAAAGAACTTAAAGTTCAAGGCCACAACTAGTCATGGTGGGCTCTCAGCCCAGCACCCTGGCTTGGGGGACAAGGAGAAGAGCTCAAGATTGGGTTGTGCCCAAACAGTGCTTGATTATCAGCGAAATGATACAGAGAGGCTGATACTGCCCAGCTGCCCCTGAAAGTCAGCCTTCCTCCCCCTCAGAGTGAGAGAGGATCTCAGTCAGGGACGACACCACCATTTGACAGAGGAAGGGAAGGCCTTTGCCAGGTCTGACCACCACAGAACATCTGTCACAGAGTACACTTCACCTCCCCCCGCCCCGCCCCAGGTCTGGGCAAGCCGTTCATTCAGAGACGGCACCACATTGCCAGGGTTTTTTTTTTTTTTTTTTTTTTTTTTAACACTTGCTTATTCAACCTGTTCTCCAGTCTTAAGGTACAAGCTGCCCTGACTTTATGCACCCCACTCCACACAAATGTCTGAGATCCCCAAAGAAAGGAAGGGGGTAGTTGTTGGATTTATAAGTATCGGGGTCACCAGTCTCAGTCTACTCAGGAGTCACCTAGTAACCAGGGACTGAGGATTTTACAGTGTGTGATTTCTGTGTGGGTAAAATGCATTCATTTGAAGAGCAATCAGAATTACGAAAACTGGACAATGGTAAGTGACACAGGTACTGGAAATATAAAATGTTTTAGGTAAGTTCCAAAACATCCTGTCTCTGTATGTGAAGTATTAAAATAATTGCATTTCAGAACAAACCTCACCTCTTTCTCTCTCACACACATCCCTCCCTGCCGTAAGTCAGTGATTTTATTGGCATGGTCCGTGGACTAAGCAGCACTGGCATCATCTGGAACTAGTTAAGAAATACAAATTCTTGGGTCCCCTTTCCTCCACCCTAGACCTAAAGAATCAGAGACCCTGCCAGTGCAGCCCAGCAAGCTTTGTTTTAACAAGCCCTCCAGTTGACTCTGATGCTTATGCTTGAGAACCCCTGCCCTAGGATTAGGGAAGATGCAGTACCAGGGAGGCTCAGGAGCCCGATTAAACCCTTACTAGCTGGGTGAGAGGAAATCCCACCCGTTGTTGTTTCTGGTGACTATTGGCTCTTAATCTCAGACTGATGAGGGGTTGAATCCTTAGTTCAAGGTCACTGTTGGAGACCAAGTCAGAGCTCCAGCCCAGGGTCTGCTGACTCATCAGCCTTAGTTGTCTTCACAGGGGTCTAGCTGACATGCCAATTCTGGGGCCCAGGACTCTGAACATTGGTAAGGCAACCCTGGAGCTCTCCTAATCTACATCATGCTTCTTCCCTCCGATAAATATAAGAGCTCGAGCTTCAATCCTTAAAATCAAGAGAGGTGGATTTTAGGAAAAGGAAAAAAAAAAAAAAAGATACACAGCTATTTCCAAAGACCTGAGCAACTAAGCCTCTTGGTGAGGAGTGGGTAGAGGGGAGAAGACTTAGGTGTCTTGTTATAATTAAAAGAATTCATTAATTCAGAAAAACTGAATAAAGAGCACAGCCACAATAAGACCTGAATGGTGCTTTCAAGTTTTCTTAGAACCTTCATTTCTATTATCTCACCCAAGTCTCACAACAATCCTGCAATGAAAGGAGATAAGGCCCCTAGCATCCCCATTTGATAGAAGAGGAAACTGAAATTCAGAGTGGCTACTTGTCTATCAGCACAGTCATCGGCTATCAAGCTAAAACTTGACCTCAGGTCTGACTCTAGAACCTGTGTACCCACGCCATGTGATTTCCACAACTGGAAATCTGCCCCAAAGCAGATTAACCCCAAGGAAAAAGCAAATAGTAAAACATGCAGCAGAAATGGTGAGCCCCTAAAGCATTGCACTGGAGCAGTGTGTGGGTGCCCCTTTAAGAACTTAACACACAAACCCAAAAGCCAAGGTGTTCAGCCAAAAAAGAAAAAAAAGGAGAGAGAGAGAGAGAGGCATATTTCTAGCCTGCATAATCATTTCTGGACCAATTCCCACTAGCAGCCTCTGAGGCAAACAGCGGCTCACTGCCTGGCTGAAGCTCCTCCACCACCACTAGCAGCCTCCCCCTCTCCCCCAGCACCACAACCCCCCCCCCAGGGTTATGACAGCGCAGCTCTGACTTGTGTGCAGGCAAAACCCCAAAACTCAAAACAAGAAGTGAAAAAAGTGGAGCTAGAAGAAACCGGCAGCATCCTCCACGCCCCGGCATTCTGCACAATGCCAGTTCCAGGGTCCTGGGGTGGCCTGCAACGCGATGTTAGGAGCCCGAGGGATGAGGCGGACATTCTGGTGGACCCACTGACCCTATTCTTTCCCACCCAGTCCCTGAGGAAGAATAATAAAAGAGAGGATTCGTTATGAAGTCCTGGGGCTAGAGCCCAAGGTAGATACAATCCAGGCACCCTCTCCTAAGGAGCAGAATGTCAACTCAAACTGTCCACCTGGTCCTTCCCTTCAAGTCCTGTCCTCTGCGAAGATGAACAGGGTGGGGTTGGCGGGGTGCTGTAAACCTGAGGAAAGGCTGGAGGAGAAACTGTACCATCCGCCTACCCCAGCCATGTTGCCCCATGTGCTTGGGGCTCGATTCCGACCCGCGCTACCCGCGCTAACTCGGAACCCGGCGCCCTTGACCACGTCGGATGTTGGGTAGGGGGCAGCGCCTAGCTACACGCCCTGGGGGTAGGGAGCCGTGCCGCCGGGACAGCCTACCTCAGTTTTGGCCGGAATGATTTTCCTAGAAGACGCCACGGAAGCGAAGATCTGGTGATTCGCGGATTTCAGCCAGGGGTGAGGAACTCAGCCCAGGGGCGCAGCGACCCACTCGGCTCCTCCACACTGGGGCCTCGGGGCGGCACCCTCGGGACTCATCCTACTGCGCGGACGTGCGGAAAGAAGGGCTCCATCCTCAACTTTCTCGGAGGAAACTGCTCCGCTCCGCGGCTTGCCCAACCCTTCCCGCACACCGGGTCCCAGGTCTGGGGAGAACCAGGGACCGAGTCCCTCACTGCGCGCACAAAGCAGCTGCGCCTGGGCGCGCAGCCCCTTCTCCCGCCGCCCGCCAACTTGAACGCTTATCTCTGGGCGCCTGCCTACTCCTCTGGCCCCGCAACGGGATCGCTGCCCCGGCCGCCCGCATCGGACCGAGCGCGGGGCGTCCTGACCGCCGCGGTTGCTGCAGCCGCATCTCCCCTCACCCCCCAACCCCGGCCTGGCCTCTGCCTCGCCCGCCCGGCGCCCCACGCCCCGGCCCTACCGTGCAGCCCGGCTGGTGCCCGGGCAGTGCCAGTGCGCGGCACGCGTCCCAGCCGGCGAGGCTCCTCCCCGAGGGCTGCCCCGCGCGGGGCTCCGGGCTCCGGACAAGGCTCGGCCCGCCCGGGCGCTGGCTCGCAGCCGCTCTCGGCTCCCGCGCCGGCTCCCGCTGCCGCGCGCCCAGAGGGAGGGGTGGGGGGGGGGGGGAACTCCCGGCAACTCCAACTCCAGGCGCTGGAGCTCCAGCTGCAGCCGCGCGCCCGCCCGCCGCCGAGTGCGAGCGCCTGCGAGGCAAACCTGCCCCCGCGGCCGCCTCTGAGCATGCCCAGTGCCGCCGTGGGCGAGCCCGAGCGCCCCGGCCCGGGGCAGAGAGCAGCGGCTGGGGGCCGGGGAGCTGGCCCGGGCTCCGGACCGCGGGACTTGGGGTGGAGGGAGGGAGGGACGGGCCGGTGCCGGGGAGGGGGCAAGCGCCGGGGCGGGGGGGGGGGGGAATGGTGTTCGGAGGGCAATGCAAGTTTCACGGGTTGTGAGAAGTTTGTGGGCTGTAAAGGTAAGCTGTTTCTGTGAGTCTCTCTGCAAGACTCTGTTTGAAAGGACAAGGAAGTATTTATTCTGACAGTAGAGAACGAGTGGATCAAGCACAAGGGTTTTATCTAGTGCACTCAAGCCTGGGGTTGCAAACCCAAAGAGCTAATGGGGCCTGGCAGGTAATACAAATAAGTGAGCTAGCTAGGACGCGGAGCGGTGGAGAGGGTTCTAAAGGCACACTCTGTTCTAAACGCCCAGTGCTGTCATGGAAGAATTCAGGCCTACCTTTGCTAGATTTTCTGATTTTTCAAGGAACGACAGAGAGTTCGTTTTTTTTCTCATAGAAAACATCCGGATTTTTACATCTTGATAACAAGTACAGGTTTTCAACAACACTGGAGCAAACAAAATATACCTGGGTTCCTTCCCTGCTCGGCCCCACAGAGAGCTAATTTGAGGATTGTGATTTCTGCATTTTTTTTTAGCAAAGAGGTGCTGAGTGCCCACTGTGGTTTAGGAAGGCACTGGAAAGGATCCAAGATGATTCAGATGGCCATCAAAGTTCTACCAGTTACTAAGGGAAATGGGTTTTCCAGACAGAAGAGGGCTAGGGATAGGTGCTGGGGCATTCGAGAATAGAAATTGCTGGTGTGGAAAGGGGTAATGAGAACTAACTTTTGGGAAACATCATTAATAAAAGTACCCAAGGGGGAGGTCACTGCAGGATCAGTTAACAGTGCCTGCAGAGGCATTTTGGAGCCTGAAGAAAAAGGAAAAACCTACTGGACCCTGTCTTTATTTTAAATTTTGATATTTTTCCTCATGTACTTTTTGTATTTTTAAAGTATTGTATCAAAATATTTATAATGGTTTCTGAGTTCCTTGACATCCCCTTAAGTTTTGTGGCACACCTCACCCTAGCCTGTGCCCTGCTGGGGTGCTACGTGGTGGTACACCTGTCTGCTTAGAGTGTAAGGGGCAAGAAATAGCATACTGAAATGGGAAAGGGGGTTGGAGCAATGGATGGAGGCTGGGGCAGAGCACTTGACTGCCAATTTTTTGGAGCCTGAACTTCATTCATTTGTTAGCAAAGATACTGGGGGAAGAAAGTGACATAACCCGGACCCAGCTGTAGGAAGATGGGCTGCTACAGACCCAGGAAGCTGGTTTGGAGGGGAAGAATGGGAGAAATGGGGTACCTAGGGCACCTTCACCATTGCGGTCTTATGAAAATCAGATGCATTTCCCTAACAAAGTCACATGTACTCTGCTTGTAATTGGAGAGGCGTGTGGCGGGGCTTGCTGAGTGCCCACAGGTGGGACTCCCAGGTCCTGGTCTAAACCTGGGTTTCCATGGGCAAGAGGCTCCACCTCCAAGCTGCCTTTTCCTCATGTGTGAAATTGTCCGATGATTCTTATAGCGGTTTTGTGAGGATTCAGACAAATAAGGTCTGCCTAAGGGCTTTGAAAACTGAGAGTTTAAGCAAATGTAAAGCATTGTTCTTACCTACATATCTATATGAAATAGAATGTAAACAAAGAAGTTCTACGGCTTTACAAAAGTTGTCTTAAGCAGGAAGCTTCTTTGATTTAACAAGCCCTTTTACTGTGTGTGGGATTCTGTTGACAAATCTTTGGAATCAGCTTTTGGGTAACTGGACAATTTTGTGAATTAAGATAGCTCTGTACTTGTTCCTACTGCCAGTTACTCAAAATGACTCCCACCCTCTGTAGGGCTCCCTCTATCTCACCTGTGGGTCATCAATCCAGTCTGCCTCAGTGAGACACCTGGGACTTACCCCCGTGCCCTGGATCACTGTCACAGCAGGTGAGTTCCTTGGTTGCTACATTCATGGAGAACAAACCACCACTTGTCTGTGGGAAGCATTTTAAGCATGCAGAACTCTCAAAGAAAAAAAAATGCTTGGGTGTTTACACAAGAAGCCTTCCAGAAGTTATGGAAAGGAGGAAGTACCTAGCCCTGGTACTTGCAAACAAATATTTGCAGAATATATAGCAATTTGTATCATCCAAATCTTCTGTTTACCTCCCACAGATCCTAAGAATTCTTTTTTTTTTAAAGATTTTATTTATTTATTTGAGAGAGAGAGAGAAGGAGAGACAGTGAGAGTACAAGCGGGGAGGAGAGGGAGAAGTAGGCTTCCTGCTGAGCAGGGAGCCTGATTCGGGGCTCAATCCCAGGACCCTGGGATCGTGACCTGAGCCAAAGGCAGATGCTTAACTGACTGAGCCACCCAGGCGCCCCTCTAAGAATTTTTTCTAAAAAATCACAATAATGATAAAATTGTAAAGGAGAACAAGAACAGGATATAAATGTTTCTAAAGGATATAAACATGTCCTTTTCCAAGTAAAATGCTTTGTCTACTTAAATTTTAAATTAATTGTGTTTGTTTTTTAAAATAATTTTTATTATTGGTAGTAAATAATACATGATATTAAAAAGAAGCTCAGTCCAAAAGTCTCAGTAAAGAGAAAGTTTCCCTCTCCAAGAAGCATTGTTACCAGTTTTTTGCATCTGGTTACAGAAATATCCCCCACACAAGAGCAAGGATTGTTAGGGTTTTTTTTTCTCTTGATGTCTAACCATGAAACCGTAAAACTGAAAAATGCCTTATAGGTCATCTAGGTGCCAATTATAGACTTTTAAATTACAATTATATTCTGGAATAGAAAAGGGAATCATGAAAGTAGTTTTCTCTTGTGGCACAAGTATACTCATGGTCATAAGGACACCAGATCACATGGCAAAACCCTGCTTCTGAGCATTAAGTGGTACAAGAAAAAAAACTGCATTCACCTAGAGTTCTCCTGAAACCTATAATGCCTAGTGTCAACCTCAACCTACAACACCACAGATTTGGATGCCCTAGGTTGCCTGGGGCTGTAGAAGGAAGGGCTGTCTACATAACAAATGGAATGAACTGATATGGACAAAGACAGCTTGATTTAGGAAATTGTGCACTGTAACTTTTTAACAGTGTCACTTTTAGCATCATCAATCAATGTCTTCAAGACTAGTAAAGTCTGTATTTTTTTTTTAAATTCTACACAATGTAGCTAATAGCTTTTCAGATTCTTTATTCTGATGATGTGTTTTCAGGTAAGAAATTCAAGAAGTCTCAACTTTTAGGTTGATCCATGTGACACTGCCATTTTTCTTGGCCATAGTCCCTGGAATATTGGCAGTATTATTTTGCTATTCCTAATGGTTATAACCTGGCAATAACAGAATCACCCCCAGGGTAGGGATATATCTGTGGCTGTTGCATGTATGTATCAATTGGGAGTGAAACCTGTCACTTCTAGTGACATGATATGGTGGGATCTGGGAGACCCACAGCATTGAAATGGGCTTTGGGTGCTTATGCTAGGGACCCTATTCTGTTTTGCACACAATTAGTATTGGTGTATGGTTTTACTCATTCAGGATTCTAGCTGGTTTATAAATGAAGTCCTCCTTTTTTGACTGAGTTGCCACGGTACACATTCTGTCCCTAATTTACTAACCAATATATATTAGCCATGTGTTTCCAGTCAGATTGTTAGTTCCTTGAGTGCAGGGAACGAGTCTTAAAAATCTTCAGTTTCCCTCTTCCAATGCCTAGCTCAGAAGCCCATCAACAAACAGTTACTAGCTGTCTCCATTCAGGTGTGTCATCAGGGACAGGAGACAAATAGCTGATCTCCAAAAAGAAGGAATCTGCTATTCTGAATACCTGCATAAGGATAAAATTGCATCGGTGATAATTTTCACAATCAAAGGTATGGGCTATTAAAAGTATATAATGGAAATAGTGGGGAGAGAGTCGAACAGGAACCAGAGCCGGGGCTGAGTCTGAAAAAAGCTGGATCCAGACGGTGACTCCAGAACAGATGGAATTGGAAAACGGAGGACCCGGTGGACAGTGGGCAGTCACTGCCCCGTTGACATCTATAGTCCCCAGTATGTCAGCATGTCCCTGGCCTGAGGGTACATTCTTTGATTGATGCATATGCACTGCATAAGCAAATGAGACTACATAAGCCCAAAGTAGCCTCCATGGAGGAAATGACCACCTTCGCTGATGCCTATCTGCAGCATCTCCAGAAGCTCAGCTAGGAAGGAGATGACGATCATCCAGACTCTGTAGAATATGGGCTAGGTTATGACTGCCCAGCCATGGAAGGGATATTTGACTACGCAGGAGCTGTAGGAGGGGCTACAATGACACTGCCCAATGCCTGATTGATGAAATGTGCAAAGTAGCAATTAATTGATCCGGGGGGTGGCATCATGTAAGGAACATCTTCACCAGGAGTAGATTCCAGCTCAAGAAACCATTTTCTTTGCTCATCCAGAGGAAACAACTCATCCATTGAAGTTTGATCATGAGATTATAGCAATTCAGTCACATCTTCAGGCTCCACTTCTAATTCTAGTTCTCTTGCTATTTCCCCAAACCTTCAGTTTGTAAGAAAACACATTACTTGTGGAGCACAGTAAAGTAAAGCACAATAAAAAAGAAAA